GTTTTCTTTTATAACAAGGTATCATTGGAGCCACTGACCTACAAAACCAATAAAAGCCCCTTGGACAAACTGGCCCCACACCTTGTCCTTTACAGGGTACTGACCTGTGACAAGCAAAGAGTGTCACTTCCTGACAGGTCTAGGAATCCCAGAAACAGTCTGTGGTCTGTGTCTTTCTCCAGAGATGACTTTGAGACCTTTGATAGTTAAGGAAGAGATGCGGCTGGCCCTGGAAAGGCACCCAGATCCTTCCTCCCACCCCTTCCCCAGAGGCTCCTTCTATGCCCATCCCTCGTTCATTCTTTCTTTCATAATGATTGAGGCCTGCTGTGCCTGTTGTGTGCCAGGAACTCAGCCAGGCCCTCAGACTTTAGGGGTGCCCTGACTGCCTTTTCTATGTGTTAAATACCTTACAGGCTAGGGCTGAAGGCAGGTTTTTGAGTAAGAAAATAGAGGATCTGTAAAAGTTCCCAAAACAGAGACAGAGACGGGGTAGCGATGTGTTTGGGAAAGGACATGGGTGCCTAGAGGGGCCAGCTGATGATGACCATCTCTTGCGTAGGGTGGGGGTGGGGGACTCCTCCACCAAACAGACCCCCATTGGAGCACAGCAAGGGAAGCTGCAGGGAAGAGCCTCCACCTGCACCCCAGGTAACGTGGGCTGTCACTTCAGCTGCAAATCCACCTGCAGAAAACCTTCTGGCCACATCTTGAGAAAAGGGAATTCATATACTCAGATATGCCCTTGTAAGTTCCACTGTTTCAACAGAAAGGGAATCATGCCACGTGCAGGAAGGCACACCCCAGGGGTGTCCAGTGCCAAGGCAGCTGCTGCAGGTGGGGCCCTCTGGCCAGCTGTCGGGGACTCAGCGGCTGGGAAGGCCTGTCTGGACGGTGTTGGGGCTCATCAGCAGCCCCAACTGAGCACGGTGCTCAGTCATGAACACCCCATGGATTCTCCAGGGAGGGCAGAGCCGGACAGCCAGGCAGCCCCACCTCCCGCATTCCCTGTCCTGGAATGCCCGAGTGACTCAGGTGGGACTGCTTCTCCGCAGCCACAGGCAAAGTTCAGCGCCAATAACACTTCTCTGCAGGCCTTCTCTACAGCCTGGAAGCCTCCCCGCCCACCCCTGCTTTGCGTTTTCCCACCTTTCTGAACCAAACCAACGAATTTCTTAAATGTATTTCATTGATGTCTGATGCTTCCCTAAAATGTATAAAACCAAGCTGCCCAGACCACCTCGGGCACAGGTTCTCAGGGCCTCCTGGGGCTGTGTCATGGGCTGTGGTCACTCATACTTGGCTCAGAATAAATCTCTTCAAATATTTTACAGTTTGACTCTTTTTGTTGACACCAGAGATGCAATTGCATCTCTAGGAATTGTGTCAGTGTCGACCGTCACATGGTTGCAGAACATGTCACAGGATCGTCATGGTGGCATTCTTTGTAAAGCAAAGTCAGAACCATCAGAATGTCGGGCAATAGCAGACCAGTTACGTAAATTACGGTTTGCCCGTGTGACAGAATATGGCGCAGCTGTAAATAACGAGTTCAATTTGAATGAGATGGAATGAATGATCTTCAAAATATACTGAGAGAGAAATTCAGGGTGCTGAAGAGCGTAGCACATCACCGCATGTACCCAAAGAGGAACTACAGACAAAACCCTCTGTGTCTCTACATGCAGAGAAAGGGTATGGGATAAAACTCAAGGACCATTACAGCATCTGCTCCGGTGGGTGGAGGAGTGGGAGAGCCAGGGCCGGAGAGGAAGTAGACTTGGTGTGCTTTGCAGACACCTGTGTACTGTTCACTGTTTTGCTTTTATTTTTTTATTTTTATTTTTTTTGAGATGGAGTCTTGCTCTGTCGCCCAGGCTGGAGTGCAGTGGTGCGATCTCAGTTCACTGCAACCTCTGCTTCCCAGGTTCAAGCAATTCTCTTACCTCAGCCTCCCAAGTAACTGGGATTACAGGTGCACACCACCAAGCCCAGCTAATTTTTGTATTTTTACTAGAGACAGGGTTTCACCATCTTCGCCAGGCTGGTCTCAAACTCCTGACCTTGTGATCCACCTGCCTTGGCCTCCCAAAGTGCTGGGATTACAGGCATGAGCCACCACAGCTGGCCTTGTTTTTATTTTTGAGACAGGGCCTTGCTCTGTTGCCCAGGCTGGAGTGCAGTGGTTTGACCACAGCTCACTGCAACCTCTGCCTCCTGACCTCAAGATCCTCCCACCTCAGCCTCCTGAGTAGCTGGGATTACAGGTGTGTGCTACTACACCTGGCTGATTTTTCTGTTTTAGTAGAGACAGGGTTTTTCCATGTTGCCCAGTCTAGTCTTGAACTCCTGAGCTCAAACAATCCACCCGCCTTTGCCTCTCAAAGTGCTGGGAGTACAGGTGTGAGCCACTGCACCTGGCATATGTTTAATTTTTATTTTTTACCAAGTGTGCTCGGTTGAATGGCATTCCTTAAAACCATAGGCCCAAGTCCTAACCCCTGGTACCTGTGAATGTGACCTGATTTAGAATCAGGTTTTGAGGATCTAGCTAAGGTGTAAATTAAGATGAGGTCCCACTGCAGTAGAGTGGCCCTTAACACAACATGACAATGTCCTAAGAAGAGGAGGAAAGACACACACATGTGCACACACACATACGTGCACACACACACGCCCGCACACATGCATGTGTGCACGCACACACGCACACACATGCCCCACACATGTGCGCACACACACATGCACACATGCACGCACACACGTGCACAGACATGCACACACACGCACACACATACACAGAGAAAGAGGGCGGAGAAAGCCACGTGGTAACAGAGGCTGAGATTGCAGGGATGCATACTTAAGCCAAGGGAGCCAAGGACAGCTGCAGCATCAGACCCTGGAGAGAGCGTGGCCCTCCCCACATCTCAAGTTTGAACTTCTAGCTTCCAGAATTGTCAGAGAATAAATCTGTGTTGTTTTAAGCTACTCTGCTAAATTTGTTATGGCTGCGACGTGAAACTAACATGTATCTATGCGACTTTTTCAATAAGAAAAACTATTTTATTTTCTAATGTGAGGAGCAAAATAAAGGTTCCCATGATGATCATGAATGAAGGTGGCGATTGGAAGATGGTGGAAGTGCATACGATCGTTATTTCCGTTGTGCTGGGATCATGTGACTTACAGCACAAAAACGTGCTATTTCTGTAATCAGAAAAAGTACATGAACAACATTCTAAGACAGCGTAAGAAGGGATTTACTCTGTGGGGGTGAGCAGACAAAAGCTCAAAGAGGATAAAGAAGGAGAAGGATGCTGCACTCTCCCTCTGCTGTACGAACGTAAACACAGGTCATTCAAAATCTCTCTCCGTCAGTAAGAATCAGTCATTAGGAAGTAAGGAGACAAAGGTAATGAAAACCAAAAGCACATTTAAAAATATCCTTTAATTTTTCAAATGGAACAAAGTCGTGTCCTCATAACCACGGGAAGAACCTATGGGCAGAGACGTCACTGTGACACTTGCATCATCAAAGGAGCCTGGTGACGTCAGCACCAACGGGAGACTCCAGGGTTAGGAGAGCAGTAGATGGCAGCTGGACCATGGCATGACACAGACCCTAAGATACGATGCTTGGAAGAAACTCATCCTTAAGGGGTGTCTTTGGCAGTCTCTTTACATCACTCTAACCCAAGGTAAAGGACTTTCAAAGAGGGATCTAGGAAAGTTTGTATGATTGTGGTAAAATCAGGGTCAGGGTCATCCTTTAGCCTTGACCTGAGAAAAATACTGACAGACAGGCAGGTTATCAACATACAGCTAGGGGCGTGCCCAGGGACGATGTCATGGAGGAGGGAACACTGATGCAGAGAATCTGGCTAGATGGGCCCATCTTACCCCATCCATGTGACATTTCTGGTGATCTTGAATTTAAAAGGTGGTCAGTTTCAAATCGCAGAGGCACAAGAACTGGGTCCAACTGAAGCCTGCCCAGGATGGGATTATATGAAGAACTGCCCCATAGGAATAAAATGTGAGCCACATTTTCAGTGTCCAGTTTCCTAGAAGCAACATTACAGACAGTAAAAAGAAACAGGTGAATTAGTTTTCATAATTTATTTTCATTTAACTCACTCTTTCAGATGACAACACCCAGACTGTTACCATTTCAGAGTGTAAACCACATGTAGTTATGAGTGAGATGGTAAATTCTTTTCTTTCCCACTGTGTCTGACTTTGAGACCCCACATGTTTCGTGCCTTGCAGCATACCACAGTGGCTGCATTTCACATGCTCAGGGACCACATGTGGCAAGTGGCTACTTCATGGCTACCAGTGCAGAGCTAAAGCGTCCTGTTTGTTAAATGACTGTTCAAAATGAAAATCACTGCAAGCCTGAGGCGGGTGGATCACCTGAGGTCAGGAGTTTGAGACCTGCCTGGCCAACATGGTCAAACCCCATCTCTACTAAAAATACAAAAATTAGCTGAGCATGGTGGTGTGCATCTGTAATCCCAGCTACTCGGGAGGCTGAGGCAGGAGAATCGCCTGAACCCAGGAGGTGGAGGTTGCAGTGAGCCAAGATTGCGCCACTGCGCTCCAGCCTGGGAGACAAAGTGAAACTCCACCTTAAAAAAAAAAAAAAAGGAAAATCGGAGGATCAGAGACCTGCATTTTGTGTGGACACAGCCCAGGGGTGTGTTCCTGATGGGCTTGTATAACAAATCCCACGTGAAGCCTCCAACACACGCTCAGGCACCGGTGAGATCCCAGACTTCCACCTTAAAGTCTAATGGCTTTAACTTAGACAACATTCCCTGTTTATAGGCATCTACCTTTGAGAGCACTCGTGAATTTTTAGACTGGCATAGTCTTGGAACAAATTATCCATTACTGTCTCAGTGAGGAAGAAACAATAGCAAGTCAACTTTGGGGGAAGAATACCTGCTCCTGGGTTAAGATGATTTCCTCATCAATGCCTCATTCTGTGTTCACAGCCCTGCAGTGGAGAGATTTATTGCTTTTCTTTTATGCAATCAAGTCAGAGTTCGATCTGAACACGGAGAGAAACAGAGTGTGCCTGCAGCCAGCCCACAGGAGCAGTCAGCCCCGGGCACTCGAAGGAGAACAGAGGCTTCCCTCACTCAAGTTGCTGTCTCCTGACAGCTGAACGTTCTAGAAGCAACCTCTAAGGTTGGTGGTGTCCAACTGCCCATACATTAACCCCTTGTTAGAAGATGGCAAATACATCTTTTATATTGCTTAAAATACATTTTTTCTTCCTTTTTCCCCAGGAGGGAATGAATTTGAAAAGAATGCTGTTACTGGTTTTATTTGTTTTTTCACTGATGTTGAAAGAAAGGTAAATATAAAATATTGATGAATCATGATCTTTAGTGATTGGTAGAGATGCTTTTAATTTCATTTTAATTAATTTAATTTTTTGAGACAGGGTCTTATTCTGTTGCCCAGGGTGGAGTGCAGTGGTGCCATATCAGCTCACTGCAGCCTTGACCTACCAGGCTTAAGTGATTCTCATACCTCTGCCTCCTGAGTACCTGCGTTTACAGGCACATGCCACCACGCACAACTAATTTTTAAATTTTCTTTTTGAGACAGAGTCTCCCTATGTTGCCCAGGCTGGCAGAGATAATCTAAACTGCTGAGTTTTGTCCAAAGATATCAATACTACTCTCTAAATAAATCAGAATTCACTTCCTCTTTGTGGGACAAAATAAAATATACATATTTTAAACCTTTCATTGTTAAACAGTTAACTACTATTTACAGACTGCCTTCTAGGTACCAGGCTCTATCCTAGGTGCTGGGGATGTGGCAATAACCAAAGTGCCTGTCCTCAGGGAGCTTTCATTCTATTTGGAGAAGGTAGACAATAAACACACATAAAAGACAGTGCCAGGGATATAATATTTTATAAAATGAGCAGAATAAATAAAGGTGAGAGTGCCATTTTAGATGAATTATAAATGATCTCAAGGTTCCATCTCTGTGTTTAATATAAATAAGACTAAAATCAACGTATTTCTATACATATAGACAAGTGTGTACTACAGGACACATCTGTAAACCTCCTGATATGATTTGGCTCTGTCCCCACCTAAATCTCAACTTGAATTGTATCTCCCAGAATTCCTATGTGTTGTGGGAGAGACTGGGGGAGGTGATTGAATCATGGGGGCGCGTGTTTCCTGTGCTATTCTTGTGATAGAGAATAAGTCTCATGAGATCTGATGGGTTTATCAGGGGTTTCTACTTTTGCTCCTTTGTCATTTCCTCTTGCCACCGCCATGAAAGAAGTGTCTTTCTCCTCCTGCCATGATTCTGAGGCCTCCCCAGCCATGGGGAAATGAAAGTCCAATTAAACCTCTTTTTCTTCCCAGTCTTGGGTATGTCTTCATCAGCAGTGTGAAAACAGACTAGCACATCTGCTGGTATTCTCTCATCTAGAACAACTCGAATTCTTGCTTTCTCTGTACCACTCCTCATGGCCTTTTTCATAAGCAATGCAGTGTTTTCCAAGGCTATTTGAACAGCAGTAGTATCATGAGAGATAATGGTTTTTAAAAATGAAGGCTTTGCACAACATGTATCTTATAAAGGACTTGTACCCAAAATAGGCAAAAAACTCTTAAAATTCAACAATAAGGAAACAAACACTTAAATTAAAAATGAAATAGTGGCATTTAAAACATTTAAAAATGAGCAAAAGAACTGAATACAATCTCACAAGAGAAGATAGACAGATGGGAAATAAGCAAATGCCAAGACGCTCAGCCTCATTTGTCATCAGGGAATTGCAATCAAAACAAGGAGATGCCACTACCCACCCATTAGAACAGCTAACACCCAAAAATCTAAAGAATCAGGTGCTGGTGAGGAAGTGGAGTGACAGAAACTCCCATTCACTGCTGGTGGGAATGCAAAATGGTTCAGGTACTGTGGAAGACAGCATGGCAGTTCCTTAGAAAGCTAGATAGCTGGCCAGGTGTGGTGGCTCATGCCTGTAATCCCAGCACTTTGGGAGGCTGAGGCGGGTGGATCACAAGGTCAGGAAATCGAGACCATCCTGGCCAACATGGTGAAACCCCATCTCTACTAAAATACAAAAAAATTAGCCAGGCGTGGGAGTGCACACCTGTAGTCCAAGCTTTTCGGGAGGCTGAGGCAGGGGAATCACTTGAACCCGGGTGGCGGAGATTGCAGTGAACTGAGATTGGGCCACTGCACTCCAACTTGGTGACAGAGCAAGACTCTGTTTCAAAAAAAAAAAAGAAAAAGAAGAAGAAAGTTAGATATAGCTTTACCATGTGATGGAGCAGCTGTGCTCCTAGGTATTTAGCCAATGGATTAAAAAACTTACGTCCACACAAAACCCTGCACAAGAAGTTTATGGAAATTCTACTCACATGTTCCTCAAACCACTGACAAAGTAGGTGTCCTTCAGCAGGTGAAGGGTAAACAAGCTGTGGTTCATGCAGTGCTCCAGAAACAGACAAGGCGCCCTTCAACAGGAGGAGAATGATACACAGGCTGTGGCTCCTCCATGCAATGGAATCCCACTCCACAGTAACAAGAAATGAGCTATTGAGCTCTTAAAGACATGCAGGAGCCCTAAATGCACATTGCTGAGTGCAAGAAGCCCGTCTGAAAAGGCTGCGTGCTTTTATAATTCTCACATGACATTCTGGAAAAGGTAAGGCTATATTGGCAGGAAAAAGATCCATGGTTGCCACGGGGTGGAGGTAGGGGAGGAGGTGAATAGGTGAAGCACAAAGGAATTTTTGGGGGCCGTGAAACTATCCTGTATGACAGTGTGACTATGAACACATGTAAATTTGCATTTTTAAAAAACCCATAGGATGCTATGGCAGAAGAGTGAAATTAACATATGCAAATTAAAAAAATTAGGAGGTTTGAGGTATCCTAGGAAGCAGTGTGAGAACGTAATCTCTATCCCACATGTATAGAACAAGCCCGCTAGAAGGGGAGAGGGAGAAAGCTGCTGACCTAAAATAATGAGAATGAGTGGAGTTTAAAAGTAAAGGCGTTTAAAAGTGGTGGCTCACGCCTGTAATCCCAGTACTTTGGGAGGATGAGGCAGGTGGATCATGAGGTCAGGAGTTTGAAACCAGCCTGACCAACATGATGAAACTCCATCTCTACTAAAAATACAAAAATTAGACAGGCATTGTGCCGCACACCTGTAATCCCGGAGGTGAGGGAGGAGAGGCAGGAGAGGCCTCAGGAGGCTGAGGCAGGAGAATTGCTTGAACCAGAGATGGAGGTTGCAGTGAGCCGAGATCACACCACTGCACTCCAGCCTGGGTGACAGAGCAAGACTCCATCTCAAAAGAAAAAAACAAAAAAGGCAATAGAAACTGCACACGAGCACTGTGTTTGGGTTGATAAAGGTTTGTTCCCACAGGAGTGTGAGTTAACAATTCTGCTGCTATACATGTATATTTGAATCAATTAAATAAATGGATGGGGGATGGGGGAGCAGGTTTCTCACTGTTGGAGGGGACTTCATAGATAAGCAAGAGAGGGGGCCAGAGTGATTCTGGGGGCAACGGGTTGAAACTGGAAACCTCAGCATGAACTCACCCTTACTATGAACAGCGTTGATTACATGGCAACATGTTTGAAGACATGTGGATGTACACACAGATTAGCAGCTATTTCCTTGCTCTGTTAGCTGAGAGGGCCCAGAAGCAAGGACACCGTAGTAGCAATAAGCACTTCAGGTGCCTAGGTCTTGGCTTCTAGCACTGTTCTCCAGGAAAACAACCAGGGCTTCTTAGAGAAGTGGGCGGTTCTAGATTCGGGCAGGGGATTTACAAGATGAGCCCAGAGCATCTTGCAGTGCAGGAAGGAAGGAAGGGATTTTTACAAATTCTATTTTTAAGGGAATATGTCACTTAACTGGGACAGGGGAGCTAACTGGGAGAGCTCCCAATGGCCAAAGCTGGATCCATTTAGCAAGAAAAGAAAGTAGCATTGAATCATAACCCAAAGCATGAAACGAATTCCACAAGTCCATACCCATGCAAATGAATGATTAGAGGGAAAAAAAGAAGGAAGACATGAAGGAAGACAGGTTGGCCAAATGTTGGAAGAACTGAAGGACAGAAGGGAGAAGAGACACATCTCCCATGCAGAAGAATTCCAGATCATGTCTGTAGATTCTCCACTACCAAGGACACAGACCCTGATGCCCTGGTCCTAAAGTGTGGGGCACACACAGTGTTTCCTTATAAAGACCATGGGATGGAAAGCGGGGAGCAAGAGCAGTCTTTGCATCGAGAAGCCTGAAAACACAACTCTAGCCAGGTGGGCAAGGTCAGCATTGACGGGAAGCCATGATGAGGTCTGAGAGGGTGCCGGTCAAGAGGAGCCTGTGCATGCGGAGGCTGAGTGCAGGGTGGCGTGCTGGGTGGGACCCTGAAAAGAGAAGGGACGTTAGGTGAAAACAAGAACATCCAGCCAAAGCACAGACTCCCATTAACAATAAGGCATCAGTGTTGCTTCATGTATTGGAACAAGAGTACCCCACTCAAGCTAGATGTTAATGATGGGGGATACTGGCTGGGTTCAGGGAATTCTGCATACTGGCTTTAGAATGTTTTTGTAAAGCTGAATCTGCTCTCCCCTCCACTTCCCTTCCTTTCTTTCTCTCTCTCTTTCTTTTTTTCTTATTTATTTATTTATTTATTTATTTTTTGACAGAGTCTTGCTCTGTCGCCCAGGTTGGAGGGCAGTGGCATGATTTCAGCTCACTGCAACCTCCGCTTCCCAGGTTCAAGCAATTCTCTTGCCTCAGCCTCCCAAGTAGCTAGGACTACAGGTGCATACCACCATGCCTGGCTAATTTTTGTGTTTTTAGTAGTGACAGGGGTTCACTATGCTGGCCAGGCTGGTCTCGAAATCCTGACCTTGTGATCCACCTGCCTTGGCCTCCCAAAGTGCTGGGATTACAAGCAAGAGCCACCGCATTTGGCCACAGTATTTTTCTTTAGGTTATGATAACCGTCTTCAGACAAGGATGTTCTCTGCTCTGGTCATTCTGCAGGGCCCCAGAAAGGGATCAGACCAGCTTGACCCGAGAATGAGGACTTTTTAGAAAGTTCCCCTTCGTTGCTTCATGTTTTGATGGTGTCTGGCATGGACAAATTGGATTTTGATGAGTGTAGCCCTGGGGAATCCAATCATGGAATATCCGTGGCTAAGGACGCTTCTGAGAAGACCAGGAAGGGAGGCAGTCTTCAAGTCATTGATTTATTGAAAGTCATGGGTTTTACTTAAAAATATCCCAGGGTTACTATCCTAGGCAACAGAGGGAGACTCTTTCTCTACAAATAATCTAAAAATTAGACAGGTGTGGTGGCACACCCCTGTGGTCCCAGCAACCCGGGAGGCTGAGGTGGGAGGATTGCCTGAGCCCAGGAGGTTGAGGCTGCAGTGAGCTGTGATGGCACCATCACACTACAGTCTGGGTGACAGAGTGAGAGCCTGTCTCAAAAAAAAAAAAAAAAAAATCCTCCCAGGGTTATGAGGCAGAGGTTGCCTAATAAGCTTGCTAATCGAATAATTAGCTTGAAAGCACAATTACAGTCTAGATGAATGCAGTGTTGAAATGCAAAGGGAGGCAGCCTGTGCCTGTAGTCCCAGCTACTTTGTAGGTTGAGGTGGGAGGGTGGCTTGAGCTCAGCGGTCTAAGGCTGCAGTGAGCTGTGATCATGTGAGTGAGAACGCAGCTCTTAAAATAAATAAATAACAAAACAAATGCAAAGAGAATCAAAGACGAACTCCTCCCCACCTCTTTACAACATGCAGCAAAGCCACTTACGTTTGGTAAATAACTTAATGAAATCTATGCTTTTGTCTGAATATACATTCTCTTAGTTTATCTGTTCATTGCCTTTTTTAAAAAAAAATCTTCCTCCCAACACCCATGTTCTTTCCTGACGTTCTGCCTTTGGCCATGACCTCCTTTACCTAGATCTCTTCCCTAGAGCGGCTCATAACCTTCCCCACCCAGCTGAGATCGCTCTTCTCCAAGGGGCTTCCCCTGACTCCGATTTGGGTTGACGCATGTTGACAAAAAGCCAAACAAGGCCTGCCCATCGCAGGCTCCATAAACATTGATCAGACTCCTTGTAATCATTCGATTTTCCCTCTGTACCCAGGGATTGCCAAGTAGAAGAGCTTCAGCTCTCAGACTGGTTTCAACCTAGGTAAGAACAAAAATGTCTTTTTACCTGCACACACCAACAGCATATCTCGGTTTGAAGAAACAGGTTTTTCTTCCCCAGTCATGAAATTCAGCTCTCCTGGGAGGTTTCCAGAATTGGGGTTTCATTCTGGAGGCTCTTATAAACAAACCAGGGTCTTCTGGGACCCAGGCAGCCATGGAGGTGATGAAGAAGGGGACGCACTCGACCTGCCTCAGCTGTCCTGGTTTAGGGAGTGAAAGAGTCTCTGGAAAAACAGCTTGAAAATGCCGCAGATGACGCTGCTCGACTTTGGTGTCGGTGCGCAGGGGCAGCCCCGACCTTTGTAAAGTGTGTAGTGTTCAGCTTTGTGTTTCCTTCCTCAGTTTACTGAATCAATTCCCTACGGGTTTGGGGTTACTTACCGTTTGGGGGCTTTGTAGGCAGAGTTCTGGTGACTAAATGTAACCTTTTTTGCCTTTTTCTTACACAGATGTGTGACTTCCTGTGTGAGATCAATTTCTCAAATGAAGTCATCAGGCCAGATAATGCAGACATTTCAAAATTTTTATGTAAATTTTAAATTGCTAAATTTCCTTTTAATCATGGCACGATTTTATCTTCTTGTCTATAGTACATAAAGTATTGCCAGCTTTTTTATGTTTGGCAAAGCTGCTAGTTAAAACATCTCAATTCAATTTGCATTTCTGTAATTGTATTGTTTGAGGTTTTTTTTTTTTTTAGAGACAGGAAAAGGGGAGAGAGAGAAAGAAAGCAGGGAAGGAGGGAGAGATAAAGGCATTGTGTAAGGGAGGCGGTCTCCTGCCTCCCTGGCTTCAGTAAATGACTGGAGAGTGTTCTGACTTCTGGCTGCCTAATTTTGAGCTGCAGTCAGAGCTCAGAAAAGGTAGTTTGTGGGCTCAGAGGCAGTCGACTGGGGGAGGAACACACAAACCCAGGAGCCAAGTTGGCTGGGTGTGGCACCCCAACCCCCACATGTTAACTGTGTGGTGTCAGGCAACTTACTCAACCATGTGTGCCTCTGGTTCCCCACATGGAGATTGGGGTGGTGGGGATCAGGGGTGGTGGGGACCGGGGGTGGTGGGGACCAGGGGTGGTGGGGACCAGGGGTGGTGGGAACCGGAGGTGCTGGAGACCGGGGTGCTGGGGATCGGGGGTGCTGGAGATCAGGGGTGGTGGGGATTGGGGTGGTGGGGATCACTGCATAGGGTGTTGCAAGGATAAATGGGATAACATCCTCAAACATGGCACCGGCTGCACAGTCCATGCTCTCTAAGCGTTAGCCATTACGCAGGCACCTGCTGCTGCCGCCTGAGTAAAGCAATCCCTGTTTAACCTGGTTCTTGTTCCACAGAAAACGCCCCGATGTCATAACGAAAAGGAACTGGCTCGCTCCCGTCCTATGGGAAGGGACTTTTGACAGGCGGGTTCTGGAAAAACATTACAGACGGCGGAATATCACCGTGGGCCTGGCCGTCTTTGCTACTGGCAGGTAGGTGCCACTCACCTGTGGCCTTTTTTATTTTGGGAAAATGTGGATCAGCATTCATGGACTTTTGACCTCCAAAGATAATTAAGCATAATTAACGATAACGATAGCCATGATTTTTGTGAGAAAGAAACTTACCTGTCCAAATCCAAAGAATGAACTCAGAAATCTGGAGAAGAGGGAAAGTGAGACTTTTAATGATGGTCTTGGAAGATCGGGTGTCTGACGGGCAGGCACACCCAGCACAGTTTGAAGAAGCAGTTTATCCCCTAGTGCGTGGGTCCCTCCCCGGTCCCTCACAGGCTGGCTACTGGGGGGTCCCAGTCTTCCCGGATGTTGCCTGTTGGTTGGGCGGGGCTTCAGGGCTGTTCTCTTTAGGGCGGTCCTGCTGCATTTTGTTGCAGCCCACAGTGCATTGCAATCCCAGTCAGCTCAGGGGCTCTCCAGGTGTTTGACTTATGACCTAAGTAGCTGGGCAGGCTGATAAGAACCGGCAAAGCCAGCTATTTTGCAGGGTAGTAAACTCATTTTAGACTAAACTTCTTCAGTTCACTTTGTCTTGGAAATGGACTACCATATACCTATTTTCCTTCCATTTCGGGCTGTCCTGTACAAAGGCGTGCTGGGTTTCTCTGTTGATGGCAGAGTCCTTAACACCAGTGGGAATCTTTTGATTCATACCCACTTAGCTCTTACCCTTTCTTCAAACACTAGTTCCAAAACGGTGGCTTTTCTCAGGCCCTTCAGGTCAGGGCATTCCTTCCCACTCACAGACTCAGCTGAAGCTGTGGGTGCAACTCCTCCAGGCTTACACATCCCAAGTTCCTTAGCATTAGAAACACCCATGTTAGACAGCCCATTCAGCCGTCTCTTCTGATCATGTTTAGAAAAGTGTTGGCCGTGCACAGCGGCTCACACCTGTAATCCCAGCACTCTGGGAGGCCGAGGTGGGTGGATCACCTGAGGTCAGGAGTTTGAGACCAGCCTGGCCAACATGGCAAAACCCTGTCTCTCCTAAAAATACAAAAATATTAGCTGGGCATGGAGGGGGTGGGTGCCTGTAATTCTAGCTGCTCAGGAGGCTGAGGCAGGAGAATCACTTGAGCCCAGGAGGTGGAGGTTACAGTGAACTGAGATAGTGCCACTGTACTCCAGCCAGGGCATCAGAGCAAGACTCCATCTCAAAAACAAAGAAAGAAGGAAAGAAAAGTAAGTGTCTTCCCCAGTGTGTGTGTTTTTCCTAGGTTTGCAGAGGAGAACCTGAGGCCATTCTTACACTTCGCAAATAAGCACTTCATGACGGGCTACCGAGTGATCTTCTAGGTCATGGTCGACGCCTTCTTCAAGCTGCCCCACATACAGCCCAATCCTCTTTGAACGTTCAAAGTGTTTAAAGTGGGCACCGGGAGGGGGCGCCCGTGCAGAGCCTGGGTGAACACATCATCAGTCACATCCAGGACGAGGTGGACTTTCTCTTCAGCATGGCTGCCAACCAGGTCTTCCAGAGCGAGTTCGGGGTGGAGACCCTGGGCCCGATGGTGGCCCAGCTCCATGCCTGGTGGTATTTCAGGAACACCAAGAACTTCCCTTATGAGAGAAGGCCGGCCTCAGCAGCTTGCATCCCGTTTGGACAGGGGGCTTTCTATTACGGCAGCTTGATGGTTGGTGGCACGCCCCATAATATTTTAGATCTCATCGAAAATTATCTGAATGGAGTTATCCATGACATCAAAAATGGACTCCATAGCACCTATGAAAAGCACCTCAACAAGTATTTTTACCTAAATAAACCCTCCAAGCTGTTATCACCAGAATACAGTTGGGATCTTGCATTTTCTCCTCCTCCATAGATACAGCATGTGAAGGTGGTGCATGATTCCCACAGGAAATCATGATTATGCCGTTAGGTTTATGATGAATAAATGAATCGCAGCAATTTCTTATAAATGTGGAACTTCTTAAAAACTTGCATTTTTTAGAGACGTAAACATTTACATCCTTCCAAAATAAATGTTTCCTCTTGCCATTTTGAGCTATCTTATTTGGCTAATATAGAATAAAGAATATAAGGCTCATTACTTAATGTTAACACACAGTGATATTATTAGCTACGTGTTGTAGATAATGCGGAAATACTTTTGACATAGAATGAATTGTTTTTAATGAAGAAATACTCTAGTTCAGAAAAAATATTCACAAAATGGAAAAGTTGTACATGCAAAGGAGAAAAATAAGTTTCAGGCCACTCATTAAGTATTCATTGTGTTTTTCCACACTGGGATACACGTGGCTGTGGTCAACCCCTCTGTCTGTCCAGTGTGTGAGAGTCAACACAGGTGAGCTGGAGGAATCTGGTCAAAGCCACGTCTTACTTTTATGATTCCAAAGCAAGATATTCAATTTGTTCTGTTAAAAAGCTGTAGGTGGCCGGGCGCGGTGGCTCAAGCCTGTAATCCCAGCACTTGGGGAGGCCGAGGCGGGTGGATCAGGAGGTCAAGAGATTGAGACCATCCTGATCAACATGGTGAAACCCCGTCTCTACTAAAAATACAAAAAATTAGCTGGGCATGGTGGTGCGTGCCTGTAATCCCAGCTACTCAGGAGGCTGAGGCAGGAGAATTGCCTGAACCCAGGAGGCGGAGGTTGCGGTGAGCTGAGATCGCGCCATTGCACTCCAGCCTGGGTAACAAGAGCGAAACTCTGTCTCAAAAAAAAAAAAAAAAAGGCTGTAGGTATTTTATTTTTTAAAGAAGATATTTGTTGAGCTCAGTGGTAAAGGTGCTCTGCCAGATGCAGACAGGGATAGAAAGGAGTTTGGAACACCTGTGCTGTGTCCCTGGCAGCCTGCAGTCTGGCAGGGGTTGAGGCCGTGTGCTAAGAGCACATATTCCAAGTGCTAAAAGTGACAAGGAAGATGCTCACCTGAGCTCTGTGGTGGGCAGGGAGCCAGCACCTCCACGAGATGCTTTGTGTGGCCACAGGGGGGAGTGCTCCTAACTCCATGAGCAGGTGCAGCTGGGAACAGCTTTGGCAAGTGTTATGGCAGGACTCACATCCCACCCCATGACTATGCTGAAGTGTTGGGGTTCACTCGGGGTGGCTGGCAACATATTAGGGAAATATTAGGGAAAGTTAGAAGATTATAGTCTCAAACCTTTTGGAAGGCTGAAAGGTTTTAATGGAATGGGCTGAAGGCACCCAGTTCATTACCTTAGAACTTTAAGTCATAGGGTAAAAGATTAGGGACAATGAAAGCTTCCCCAGTTAAGTTTGTTTACCCCACATTCCTTTGTCTCTGCTCTAATTTGTTTGCTCATGTAAACTTTGCGCTGGATGGTCCTCTCAGGGGGAGGTCAAAGGGGAATTACCCGTTAATGGTGTTTACTCTGAGTCCTGGTACCTAAAGCTTTTATCATTCGTAAAACCACTCTTTTAACCATGTTAATTATGCACAAGCGTGTTGACTTAGAATCTCTGTTATTAAATCTATCCTGAGTAAATGTGAGGAGGTACAGGGAGTTGTGGTTGGTTGGCTGCACTTGGCCTCTGAAAGCAGCTGACGACCATCCCTAGCCCACTCGGATTAGTGCGTGTGAGTCCACTCGTTCATCCGTCATCGAGTCAGGGTCTGCAGGACAGACCTCTGCAGGTGGAGACTGATGTCTCAGGTGGTGACCCCAACGTGATCGAGGTCTCACTGAAGTCCTAACTCCATACCTCAGAATGAGACTGTGTCTGGAGATAGGGCTGTTAAAGAAGTCATTAAGGTAAAATGAGGCATTAAGGTGGGCCCTAATCCCACAGGACCTGCTGGCGTCCTTATAAGAAGAAGTGAGGACACAGACACACAGAGGGGCCACCATGAGGACACAGGGAGAAGAGGCGTCTGCAAGCTGAGGGTGGAGGCCTCGGGAGGAGCCAGCCCTTCAACACCTCGATCTTGAACTTCCAGCCTCCAGGACTCTGAGGATGCACATTGTTGTTGCTGAGGCTGCCCAGCCCAGCCCATCATACTCTGTTAATGGTGGCCTGAGCAAACGGATCCAGCAGGTGTCCCAAAAATAATGGCAGCTCGGACACTCGATTGCAAGGCGCGCTGGCCACCACTTCCTGGGATGGAAGACTATGGGAAGTAGAAAAGTTCCTCTTCAAAGTGTCCTTTCTTGTTAGAGAATGAATCATAAGTGTGCTATTAACTCTTTGTGAAGCCCTATCCTATGTAGCTGTTAGACATGCCATGCTTACAGGCATGTAGTACATTGTATGTCCTTGTACTTTAACCAAGATATCTGTGCTGGACGTGCTCACAGGCATGTCCCAGCTCCCCACTGCTTTTTCCTGTTTAGAAAAGTTTTAAGTTGGTAGCCAATCGGGTTTTAGTTTAGATTGTGAGGTCCGGCTCCAGCCAATGGAGATCAGACACAGCAGTGAGGACGACCCCACATGCGTAAGGGATAAATTTGTGTGTTTTCCTTTGTTCACTATATACTCTCTGGCAAGATGGCTAGTGAGGGTGCCCTTCCTGCAGTCCAGGAAGTAAAAGTTGCACTGCTGAGAGATCCTTTGTCTCTGGGCTGACTTTTCTTTGCGGCACTGAGCATCTGTTTCCAACAAAGACTAAGGCTGAGAAAAGCCTCCCTGAGTTCAGAATTGGACCTGGCGCTACCACCCCAGGGTCCCTCCATTATGTCACCCAGCCTCCCCTCATGCCCAGTTCATGACAGGGACTGTCTTAAAGAACCTATCTGTCAGGATTAGCTCACCCTGCCTCTTTTTTTTTTTTTTTGAGATGGAGTTTCGCTCTTGTTACCCAGGCTGGAGTGCAATGGTGCAATCTTGGCTCACTGCAACCTCCACCTCCTGGGTTCAGGCAATTCTCCTGCCTCAGCCTCCTGAGTAGCTGGGATTACAGGCATGCACCACCATGCCCAGCTAATTTTTTGTATTTTTAGTAGAGACGGGGTTTCACCATGTTGACCAGGATGGTCTTGATATCTTGACCTCATGATCCACCCGCGTCAGCCTCCCAAAGTGCTGGGATTACAGGCTTGAGCCACCGCGCCCGGCCTCACCCTGCCTTTTTTTTTGCTGTCGTCTCCTTTGACTAAAAGAAGGTGATCTTTTTGGTGACTCATTTATTCTTGCATCTCACAGAGTAGCTCTCAATTTTTTAAAAAAATTCTATGAAAGTTTCAAAAGAGTGAAAATAGATATTACATTAGCCACAAACCCAATATATAGAGTATTCATAATTACTTTGGCCAGATCTGGAAAGGGTGGGGTGTACTGAACCAAACAAAACTTCTTCTTTTCTTGCCAATTTTTAGGTAAGGCTAGAAGACTGACTGAGAAGGCTTCTGACATTTTATCTTTAAAAATTATGAACTCAACCGGCTGCAGTGGCTCATGCCTGTAATCCCAGCACTTTGGGAGGCCGAGGCAGGCAGATCACCTGAGGTCAGGAGTTCAAGACCAGCCTGCCCAACATGGTGAAACCCAGTCTCTACTAAAAATACAAAAAATTAGCTGGATGTGGTGGCTGAGGCAGGGGAATTGCTTGGACCTGGGAGGTAGAGGTTGTAGTGAGCTGAGATCATGCCACTGCACTCCAGCCTGGGCAACAAGAGCGAAACTCCTTCCCCCTGCAAAAAATTATGGAATCAATATTAAAGTGTTGTAAATTTCTTGATTTGCATGGTAGAACAACAGGTAAGCTTGTTAATGTTTAGAATTTCCAGGTCTGGGGCAAGCCTGCTTAGAAGACTTAAAAACTAGGTCACCCAGAAAAGCCAACGTCTGTCCCCACCAGCCAGTGTGTGCCTCCCTCACAGAGAAATCTAAATAGATTTCTAAAAGAAGTTTAATTTTGCCAATTTGATGAGCAAAACCAAATAGCCTGTCTCTTTTTTATTTGATTACTTATGAAGTCAAGGCTTCTTTTCATCAGCCTTTTGATCTGTGCAAATAGCCTTTTTCTATCTTCTGCTCAGTGGTTTTTTTTTTTAGAGACAGGATCTCACTCTGTTGCGCAAGCTGGAGTGCAGTGGTGTGATTGTGGCTCACTGTAGCCTCAAACTCCTGGGCTCAGGGGATCCACCAGCCTCAGCCTCCCAAGTAGCAGTGACTATAGGTGCATACCACAATATAAAGCTAACTTTTTTTTTCTTTTTTTTTTGTTTGGGGCTGCTTTTATTTTTTGGTAGAGACAGGGTCTTGCTATGTTGCACAGGCTGGTCTCAAACTCATGGGCTCAAGTCATAGTCTGTCCTTGGCCTCCCACAGTGATACAGTGATGGGATTGCAGGCATGAGCCTCCACGCCAGCCCTTCAAGGAGTTTTGATTGACATATGCATTTACATATGTTATATGAACCCTTCCTCACACTTGCTGCAGATGTTAATTTCACATTGTTGTTTCCATGTTAATTGTGTTGATGATGTCTTTCATGTACCCGAGTTTAAAGCTCTCATGGCTGCCATCCCTTCCCCTGGCGTTTACCCCATCCCTGAGTCATAGAGAGTACAGAAGTTTCCAGGCTTGGCTGGGCATGGCGGCTCAGGCTGGTAATCCAAGTACTTCAGAGGCCAAGGCGGGAGGATCACCTGAGTTTGGGAGTTCAAGAACAGCCTGACCAACATGGTGAAACCTCATCTTAAAAAAAATATAAATAAATAAAGACGTTTCCAGGCTTCCTTTTATTCAGAGTTGATCAGGGACTAATTTTAAGACAATGTGTAGGGGGAGAGATCTAATCTGATTTCCCCCCATCTGTCTTGCCCATTTCCCTCAACACTATTTATTGAATAAATAATGCTTTTCTGGACAGGCCATTTGTACCGTCTATGAAGCTGTTGTATGTAACCATGTTCGTTTCTTGACTTGACACCCAGTCTCGTTGCTGCTCTTCTGCCTTGAGCTAATATGCCACATGCTTCTCACCACTGTCATTTTACATTAGGGTGGGGAGGTACATCCATCTGCATGACTCTGCCTTTAAAATTGTTCCCAAACTTTTATTCCTTCATGTGAATTATAGATTCGGATCTGCAGTTTGGGGGACAATCCCACTGGAAGATTAACTGAATTGCTGTAGTGTACAGGTGAGCTTGAGGTTATTAACTCTATGATGTTGAGAGATACCCAGAGCTCTCACATTGATATTTATTCTGGTCACTTTAATGCCCCAGAAAAGGTGATTTTTTAAATGATCTTACAGACTCTGTAAGCCCCTTGTTAGACGTGCGCCGTGTGCTTTGCGATCGTCATTTTTCCTTCTGTTTTTCCAGCCGGGCTTGTGGGTGTGCAGGAGAACCTTGGGGCTTCACCATCAGCTCTGGCACCAGCTCTGGGTTTCATTTCATTGTGGGGAGAAGGGGGAGAAGGAGAAGGCCTCACTGGAGGTGTTTTCCGGGACGGCTTCTGGACATACCTGTCTTGGGAATTCCAGATGACAAGTATCATGTCCTTGACCTAATTTCCTCAGAGCGTGCCCTGCCCATGGGTGGCCCTGGCTCTCCGGGAGCAGAAGCAGGGGCCGCCCTTTGGAATCCTGGGCTCCGAGGAGTGGGCGTGGGCCAGTCTCACCTGCCGCACAGGTACAGCCATCTGTGTTTACCTGACAGCCCTGTTGGGCTCCTGTGGGGAGCAGGGTCTGGAGCTGGGCTCACTCAGGGCTCTCGGACCTCAGTGGGGACACAGGCATTTGCTCATGAAGCAGGGAGGCCGCCTTGCTAGAGAGCCCCCAGCAGACGCAGGTGGGGTGGGTCACAGTGGAGGGGAGCTAGAGTCTGAGAACAGCCTCCGTGGGGTCATGTTCCTGAAGGACACTTGAGGGTGACCACAGTAGCCCTCAGGGGCTGCACCGGAGGTGCCTGGGACCCCAGGGCTCCACTCATTGTGGATGTTTTGGAGGCATCTGGGCACTGTGGGCAGGAGCTCAGGAGCCATGCGCCCCCTCCTCGCCACCCTTGGTATGCTCCAAGCCCACAGGCCAGGCTGTGGCACACTGCTGGCCCTTGACTGTTGGTTGGCAGGTGGTTGGCAGGACCTGGAGACCCACAGAGGGAAGAGGACTTCCCAGCAGGGGAGAAGCAGGCTTGGGCTCCAGGCTGGGGAGCTTCCTTGGGTCCCTGAAGTGCAAAAGGGCTTCCCAGGGGCACCTGGGCAGTCCAGGCCACAAGCCAAAGTGAAGGAGGGGTGGAAGGCAGGCTGAGGGCAACAGAGGGATAAGGGGTCCAGGCAGAAAGACTCCGGAGCCACCTGACCTAGGCTCGGGGTGGGGCACAGGGGCCTGTGGAGCAGAAGAGGAAAAGGTGGTGATTCTGAGGACTTCACTCATTTTGAAATCAATCAATCACATAGCACACAACAGCCGTCCCTCACTGGCATCACCTGGCCTCCGTCTCCCCATGTTAACGGTCCTGCCAGGGCCCTGTGCTCTGTGGAAATCCAGTCCCCTTAGAGGACCACAAGGCCCCAGTCGCCTGGGAGCTCATCTCTGCCCTCCTCTGCTCGGCTCCTGTTCCAGCTGTATGACCCCTCTTCCAGGCAGCCTTCCTCCTCCATCTCATCTCAGGGACGCACATCCTGGCTGCCCATGCTCACACAGCCTGGCTGCCCATGCTCACACAGCCTGGCCACGCTCCCCAAACCCTGCTCCAGCCCACACTCCCATGCCAGTAGCCCTTGTCTCTAACAAATCAGGTAATTACAATGCTTGCTACAGTGTAACCTGCACTGGGCCGGATAATGTGTGTGTCTTGTTCTAAGTGAATCCCAGACTCCCAGAACAGGCCCGGGCCATATGTTTGTTGATTGACTGAATGGTGCACTGGGAGGCAGCAGAGGAGAGAGGCTGACTGGGTGCTTGGTTCAGGAGGCAGGAGATCTGGATGCCTTCCAGCTTCTCCTGGCTGTGCAACTTGGCCTTGCTACTGAACGTCTCTGAGCCACATCTGTAGAGTGGAGACAGCACTGGGCCCATGTCATTGTGTCACATAGGGCTGGTGAGCTCCAGTAGCTCCTCAGTAGCCGGCACAGGCCTGCATTAGGGGCGTGGGGATTGGCTTCACCCTCCGTGGTGCTGGCTGGGAAGACGAGGCCCCAGACCGTCGCGCCCTCCTCCCGTCCCGCTCCAGGACGTGGCTGGGGCAGTGCTCACCATCTATGTTGAAGATCGGGGCTCTGTGCAGGTGGAATTTCTCCACGTACTCCAGGTATCTTCCCAGCCATGTGGGGTCCTCCAGCATTCTTCTCGCTGGAATCAGAGGGGCTGACAATGAGCGGCTGAGGCCTGGAGCCTCTGTCTTTCCTGCCCTCCTCCTCTGCGGAGAACAACAGGGAGGCAGAGGCCCTGGGCATCGGACACCCCACCACTGAGTCACCACGACACAGGCAGGGGCTTGCTGGACACCTCCCCTTCGACCTCCCAGGCCCGGCCAGTTCTGATTGCAGCGGCCCCAACCTTGCCTCCTGTAAACACACTGTCTGTACTAAGCACAACAGGCAAAGTGCCCCTGGAAGGAGGGAGTCAGGCCTGGCCCGCCTTAGTGGAGACCCCCAGAGGGTCCTGAGTTCCAGCCTGGTGCCGCCCCTCCTGCCTCCCTAACCTTCTCAGCCCTGGGGCCTCTCAGCTGCTGCTGCCCGCTCCCCCACCCTATCCTGGGCTCGGGCTCCAGCTGATAGTCTGCCCCGAAATGCCCCCATCCTCTCTATCCCCACCCTCGTCCTCAGGGCACTACCGCCCCTTGATGTCCCCCACCTGTCCCCTGTGCCCTCCCAGCCCTTCTCCCACGGCGCTTGGACTTTCAGGAGCCGCACAGCACCCCGAGATGTTGCTCGATAAGGAGGAAGACAAGGAAGGTGAGTTCTCAGTTTCACCCACTGACAATTCAAGCTCCCAGTGCAGCGACCAGAGCAGTGTCTGGCTCGGAGCAGACCGGAAGTGCACGTCCCAGTGCAGCGGCCAGAGCAGTGTCTGGCTCGGAGCAGACCGGAAGTGCACGTCCCGCGTGGGGACGCCCTCCTCAAGGGAGGGGTGCATGTCAGAGGAAGCACTCAGCTCCAGGTCCGCCCGAGGCTGCCTGCGCCCTCGGAACACCCTGCATGGAAGACCCCTCCCGGACAGGACAGCAAGTCTCCACGCAGACCTGAGAGTGTCCGGCAGCCCCTCCTTCCTTTCAGGGGACTTAGCACTGCACTGGCCAGCGCCAGGGAGAGCCGGCCACCTACCCAGCAGCACCCACAGGCTGGTGACCTCGTCATCCTCAAAGCGCACGTAAAGGATGAGGTTGCTGTAGTCGGTGCTGACGAAGTGGACGTGCATGCTGCTCCCCTCAACTGCGGAGACCCCGGGCCGAGTGATGCGTGATGTCCCTCTCTTTTGTCCCCTGGGTCCCGGAACCCCCATGCCCCGTGGGCAGTGCAGTGCCACCAAGAGGATGCACAGGCTCCTTCCAACACCCAGCCGTCCCCCAAAGCCGACAGCCACTCCTGAGTATGGTGGCCAGGACCGGGCATTCCAGTGTCCCTTGCTCACCCCTCCCAACTCAGAGCCCGGCCTGGGTCCCGGACAGGGAGGGGCACTCACAGGAGCCTTGGTACTGGCCTTGCAGCTGCGTGGGATGGACGGTGATGCTTTCTTCTTGACACACCCCTTCTCCCCTGGGAGGAGAGAAGGGAACCGGGGCCTGGTCAGGCCCCAACTGTGTCCTGTTGACCTGTCCCAGCATGGGGTAACCTCTCAAGGCTCTCCACCAGGGGACACTGAGAGCCCTGCTGTCCTCCCCAGGGCATCAGCTCCCCGGGCTCAGGGGCAGCCTTGTACTGGCACAGGCACCAGGGTCGTGCGGCCAGGAGGAGGCGATGCCCATGGTGCCGGGGATGAGGCAGGAGAGAGGAAGTGGGAGCCTCCCCATTTCTGGGATGACACCAGACTTACCAGAATGGACTGGTCCCAGTCTGGCCTTTGCTCTGAGCTCCAGGCCTTGGGGGCTGGGACCCTGACTGTCCTGCCTGTCCCCACTTGCTCTGGCTCTGTGCATAGACAGAGTCCCCCTCACCCCTACGCCCCTGGCTCCAGGGGGTTCAGTTTCTCATTTGGGGTGGGTACCCAGCAACCCCTGGGACTCTGCAGGCCGCCACGAGGTGTGTCTGTGACTGAGCATGACAGACCCTGCCACGACCCTGAAGGTGGTTATGTTGTGGCTCTAACCGCCTTCAGGGCTGTGGGTGCAGGTGGAATCACACAAGCTTGTTGCGGGCGTCACTGGCTCAGCGTAGCTTGTCCCAGGGTGGGTTTTCTTTTGCTGACAGGGCAGCTGTCCTCAGGATTTCCTGGCTTACATGGGGTTGAAAGGGGCGTGGGCCGGGGTGGCTGTGGTCCTTGGGAGACAGTCGTTGGGAATTAGTAGGCAACTTTCAAACACTGGAGATCATACATTTAAAACACCAGCCTCGGGCTTTCTTCCTAGCGGGAACGTGGGCCGTGGCCCAGTGGGCACGTCTGCTGGGACTGGACATGGCCTTCGGGGCCGGGTTGTGCATTTCCTGCACCGGCCTCTGGCAGCTTCCAAGCTTTCCCCTCTCAGAGCAGGGTCTTGGGCCTCAGCTCAGTGTGATGTGTCCCTCTGTCTCTGAACACTGTCACTGTTCCTTGGGGGTCCCTGGGTCTGAGAATAAGTGCCTGAGAGGGATGGCAGGAGCCATGCTTACTTCCAGAACAGTATGAAGTCCACGTCCCCACTGTCACTGGTCTGGATGGAGTGCAGGGCAAGCCTCAGGGGGTCGGATGGGGAAACCAGTTCTGCACGGCTGGCTGCCAGTTGCAGGGTGAGCCAGCGCCCCTCCACCTGCAGGGGTTAGGGCCGGGGTGGGAGAGGCCGGCTAGTGCATGGCTGTGTGGCACCCCTTCCACCTGCAGGGTATGGGGTGGGGCAGGGGAGGTCAGCTAGTGCCTGGCTGTGTGGCACCGGCAGGCCCCCCTCTGGGCTCTCAGGCCCCAGCTTTGGCACTGAGCATTGGTCAGTGGATAGTCGTGCCCCTCCTGGGGGCTGCGCTGGCAAATGTTTCCCCTTCCCAGTCTATATTGGCAAATGCCCATCTGTGGGTCTAGGTGGAGGATGAGTTGTGCTTCCTTCCTGGGAAGAGTCACCTCCAATCCCCCTCTCTCTGGTCTCTGCCCAATCCCCTTCCCACTTCCCTCAGCCCCGCACCCCCACCCCTGCCTGGTCCAAGCTCTGTTCCCCTGGTCAGGGAGGGGGTGGGAGGGTCTGGTGTGGTGCCAGGTGTCCCTCTATCCCTGAACTCCCCCCAGCAGCACCAGGACCCCAAGGGCTGCATGGGGAGGAGGAACTGGGACCCTCCCTGTGCCTGGGGCTGGCTTCTTCGTGTCCCCCAGGGTGAGCCCCTCTCCTGCTCCCCAGGACCCTGCTCCCTGCCTGTGCCCAGCATCTGAGCACTCTGTTCCTCCAGCCTCCACCCTGCAGCCTTCTCCCGAAACTGCTGTTGAGCCCCGGCTTCCATAGCCCCGAGAGAGCAACCGGCCCGAGGTTCATCAGTGGCTGACAGCACCACCAGCTGTGCAGGACGACAGAGCCTTCTCCCGCCTGGTGTGGCCCAAGGCCCAGGTGCAGCTCACCCTCCAGAGTGCCTACAGGGTCAGGCAGGGCCTGAACCCCCCCACCCCCTGCACCTCCTCAACATGACACCCATGTCCACCCAAGCCCTTGTTCCAGGCCTAAGCCTGGGGGCTGGACCCATGACACTTACCTTGTGTGCATCAAAGCCCTGCTGTACAGGCACTTCTTCCAGAGCCTTCTGGGCACCTGCGAGGCCCAGGCCAAGGGCTAGCAGCAGGAGCAGCGCTATCTCCAGAGCCATGACTCGGGGAAAGCGAGAGTGCCCGAAGCCAGCTCCCTCCCCTGAGCTGCTGGGGCCCATCCCACCATCGCACCTGCCACCTAAAAGTTCCACAGTCCTACCCCTGGAATGATGCCTCCTCCCTGCTGCCTCCTCCCCGCCGCCTCCCTGCTGCCTGGTGTCTAAAGTGATGCAAAGATGTGGTTTGGGTCGGGCATGGGGTGGCTGTCAGGGCGGTTTAACCGGAATCTGGGATGAGGCCTGTGGCTGGAGGCTGAGGGGAGGGCAGAGGAGGACGTGGGCTCCCTTGGGCTGCATCCTCTCCTCCCCAGGCCCCCCAGCCCCAGCGTGTTTGCCCACCAGCTGCTGGAGCCACGAATACCAGGAGCCCTCACACCCTCTTCACTTTGCTCATGGTGGGCCCTGCCCGAGTGTGGGGATGGTGGAGGGGGTGACGCAGACCAGTCCTGGGAGGGCACTCGGCACACGCCCGGCACCGAGCCCTCTTGAGGCGTCTGCCCCTTGTTCCTGCTTTCTGCAAACATCTCCCTCCAGCCCCCTCTCTTCACCCTGGAGCTGCTCTGGGCCAGGCCATGAGCCTCTCTCCTGCCCTCACATGTCCAGAGGCCAATGTGGGCATGCTGTGGAGCCCCCACCCTGCTTGGCCATCCTGGGTCCTCCTTTGCCATCTGGAGTGAGTGCAGACCTCCAGGCCACAAAGCCCCTGTGTTCTGGTCCCTTCCGCTCTCTTTCCCCCACTGCTGCAGCCATTCAGATGCCAGCCCTCGAAACTGGCACCTGCCTCTGTAACCGCCCCACTCCACTCCTTCCTCCTGCTTGGGGCTGCCTGGGGCTAAGGAGTGGCTGCCTGACCCCTGTAGGTCCCGGCTTCCAGGGAGTCTGGGGTCTGGTGTGGGGACTACAGCTGGTCTCAGGGTGACCACTGGCTTGGCCTCCGGGTTCTTAGGTGGAGAGTGGGGGGCTACTCTGGGCTGGCGCTACTCTGGGCTGGGAGGCTCCAAAACCCTGGCTGGTGGGGCCTGGCCTGATATGCAGGGTCTTTCTGGAGGCTTCCATCAGCAAGCCAGGAGGAGACAGCTCTCCCAGTCAGCCTTGGTAATGGCCAGGCTAGAAGATGTCCCATTCCCTGCGCCTGGCCACAGGCACCGGGACTCGGGTGGGCCTGGGGGAACTTGGCCCAGGCCGAGTCTTGGAAGACAGAGCAGCTGCCGCCCGTGGCTGACTCAGTCTGGCTCCCACACACCCTCCAGTGCTGAGCTGGCCGTGCCTGAGTCAAGGGGTCAAGGGCCGATACAGCATCTGGCATCCTGCCCACGCCCCCTGTGCCCTGGGGAGGCCCACGCTGCCCACACCCCCTGTGCCCTGGGGAGGCCCATGCCGCACTGGCTTAGCTCCACATGCAGGTTCCAGAAGGGGCTAGGGCTGGGCAGGATCAGCACAGGGCGGAGGCTCCAGCTGCCACCCCTCTTCCTCCTTCTGGGTGCAGGATGCCAGTCCACAGCGGCCACACTCGACCTCAAGTCTGCCATTCAGTTGGGCCTCAGGGGGTCCTTGAGCTCCATCTGGACCTTCCAGGGCCCAGCTGCTGCCCTGGGTCTGTGATGTCTGCCTCTGGGCACCTTCCCCTACTTCCCAACCTCCCTGGCGGCCGGGTGCTAGCCTGAGATTCTGAGGATGGGGACAGGCTCTACTCTCACCAAGCTCTCTCCAAGGGAAGGCCCCTCCCCCAAGCCAAGGAGCCCTGCTGGCTGGCTGGGCACAGGCGAGAAGCCACTGAAGAGCAGGTGCAGAGCTGGCTCACCTTGTAGGAGGAGCAGGGGCAGGACGGGGCCTGCTGGCTCTGGGGTCGCACCTGATGGTGACCTGGGAACCCAGAAGCTCTGCTGCCGTCTCCCACCCAGCCCAGTAGGACCTCCCCTACCCCAATTGCCGGGGGGAGCATTCGGCCCCTGGGGCAGGTTCACAGGGGCATCTTCCCACGTCTGTCCCTTCCTCGGGGTCCTGCTCACCTCCCTCCGTTGCCTTGCTGCCTCCATCACCCAGAGCCTGTCCCACACCCTGTACACCTGATGGCCAAGGGGTGTCATCTCCTCATTCCTGCCCCACCCTGCCTCACTGCCCCTTCCAGAACCTTCTTGTCAAGTCACATTTACATCAACAACTAGCCCATGCCAAGCCCCCATCTGAGCCACCTGGCTCCCACCCGGGGCAATGGTCACTTCTCACGGTCAGTGTAGTCTCCAGGGTCTTCTCCCAGGTAGAATTCCTTTGCACACTTTCCGTGTTTTCTAAAACAAGAGCAGCCTTCCTTGTGAGGCGTGCCTGCTAGAGCTGGCACTGTTCTGAGGCGTGTGACTAGGTCTCCCACCTTGGGGTGGTCCAGGAGGAGCTGAGGGCTGCCATCCCACCTTCCAGGGGAGCAGCTCACACGGGCGGCCCTGAGCCCTGTTATCAAGGCCTTCCTAGGGGGCTCGGGGCTTGCGGGGAGCCATAGGCAGTGGGGAAGCCCAGGGGAAGTGGTTGGCTGTGGGATCCCGCCCTGGGGAATGGGCTGGGCTGCCAGCAGAGCCCGCTCCTGTGCAGGAGTCAGAGACCTTCAGCCTGCTGTTTTCCAGGGTGTTTAACATGAAACAGACATGGGGGCACCTCCGTCCTCAGTGACAGTCCTGGTGACACAGGGTTCATGGATTGTCACAGCCCCTCTACCTGGAGACAGCAGGGCCCACTGTCCAGCCTGTGGCAGCCTGCAGAGCCTCTCCTCCCTGGGTACCGGGCTGCAGCAGGGATGGGGGCTGGCCACGCACACGGAAAGGGTGTGTACTTTCTCTCATGCCAGGTTCTGGGCCCGGGGCCTTGGGGGCTGCTGACCCCCAACCCCCTCCCCAGCGGGGCTGGCCAGCTCAGTGTGGTCCCTTGGCCACGGGCGATGCTGAGCGGGTGGTGGGGCTCCCTGCATCTTCTCCCACCCTGAGGCCCTCGGGTCTGTGGCTTGGGGAACACGGGAGGCAGGCCTGGCTGACGGCCCCAGGTTCTGAACCCTGCTGGGACCCTCAGCTGGTGTGGAGGTCTCAGGTGGTAGACGCAGCTGGCCCCTGTGGGCGTGGTGAGGGGCTTCCTGCAGGCCTGGGTCCCAGTGAAGAAGGAGGAGACCTGACATGTCCTCCCGGCCCGTGCCTGCCTGTGGGGTGGGAGCGGAGCCAGTCCTGGAGCCCCACTGCTCTGCTGTGGGCTGTTCCTGCCCACCCCATCTGCCATCTTCCAGGCCAACTGGGAGCTGTTCTGCCAGGACCCTGTGAGGCTGCCACCCCAGCCGCAGAACAGCAGCTTCCTCTTGGCCCGAAGAGAATACATGTTCATTGAAAACAAACAGCAGCCAGGTGCCCAGCTGGGGCTGGGAGCCCCAGCACTTTGGGAGGCTGAGGTGGGCAGGTCACTTGAGGTCAGGAGTTCGAGACCAGTCTGGCCAACATGGTAAAACCCTGTCTCTACTAAAAATACAAAAATTAGCTGGGCATGGTGGTGTGCACCTGTACTCCCAGCTACTCAGGAGGCTGAGGCAGAATTGCTTGAATCTGGGAGCCAGAGGCTGCAGTGAGCCAAGATTGAGCCACTGCACTCCAGCCAGAGTGAGACACCATCCTCCCCCCTCCCTCTGCCAAATAAAAAACAGCCATGGCGTCAGATGCTAAACAATTTTACATAGAGATGGGGGTCTCCCTACTTTTCCTGGGCTGGTCTTGGACCCCTCGGCAAAAGCAGTCCTCCTGCCTCAGCTTCCCAAATCGCCAGGATGAGAGTTGAGCCCCTGGCCTGTGCCAGCAGATCCTGTGTCTTCCACCCCGGGAATCCCCGAGGACAGTGGGAAGGCAGAGGGGAAGCAGGCTCTGAGCAGAGGGAGCCAGGTCCAGTCCAGCAATCGAGGAGTGGCCGGCCCTACAGTCCCCAACCACCCTCCCCTGCCACATGGATGTCCCCAGCTGACATTGCCACTGGCGACCCTGCCTGAGACATGAGAGCTGATCAGGAGCTGTGGCTTGCCACTGGCCTGTGTCCCCAGTGTGAAGGGTAGGAGCCAGCATGGCCCAGGCAGTGTCAGGGACACCCATGGCCCCCTGGGGACTCCAATATGACTCATCAAGGCCAGGCTGGTGGGGCAGAGATGGAGGTCACCTGGGAGGCAGCCAGGGCCCAAGCCTGGCCACACAGGCGGAGGGTCCGAGAAGCACCGGGTGTCAGGTGCCCCAGATTCTGCAGGTTCTCCCCTCAGGAGTTTCCACCCAAACATGTCACGTGGAAGCTACCTCCATCCAGGCAGCGGGCCTTGGCGGGGCTCCAAGAACCGGCTCTTCCTTAGCAAACAGGCCTGAAAACCCAGGCCTGAACTCCTTTTTGGAAACAAGTGGGAACAAATAAACAAACTGAAAAGAATTCTGCTGAGACAGCAGGCACAGCACTGGGACGCGCCAGCTGCCCCCGAAAGGCACGGGAAGGGAGGCAGGACTCCAGCGTACAGGTCACCCCCAAAAGGCATGGGAAAGGAGGCAGGACCCCAGCATGCAGGCCACCCTGGGAAGGCACAGTAAGGGAGCAGGACTTGGGGTAGATGGGATTCTCCTTTAAGACCTACCACCTTGCAGGCCTGCTGGGGAGTTCTCTCCCTCCCTCCCTCCCTCCTCATCAAGTCAGCAACACTCTGGAGGCTAAGACCCCCCTGGCCCCTGTGTGCTCTGGGCCTGTCAGGCCGGAACCTGAGGTCCCTCCTATGTCCATGATCCCTCTTGTCCCCATCACCCCTTTGGCATGCTGGCTGTCACAGTCATGACACCCACCTGTGTTGAGGGTGAAGTTCTTCACTGCACCATCACGGACACAGGGAGGCCAGTGCTGTGGCGGTTTCCAAATGAGCCTGGTTCACAGGGTCCCCCAGGAGCCCCTACCCAATGCCCCCACCTCACGAGGAGAGCATCCCCTACGCATGACCAGGGGTGCGCTTTGGGATCTCAGAGGCAGCCCCACGGAGGCACCCCGGGCCCTTGCTGGGTCTGAGCGTTCTGCGGTGGTCTCTCCTCCAGGGACAGGTGCAGCGGGCAGGAGGCAGCCAGGTGGGTCTCAGCCTCCCGGCCTCTCTGAGCTGGGCTCCCTGTGCACAGCCCACACCGTGAGAGTCACTGTGCTTTGCCAAGCAGCCCACTGGACCCAGCGAATGTTCGGCTCACGGTGACAGCAAAGCCTGCCTCAGAAGAATCCGGTTTAGTTAACTGCAACCCTCAGGCTGCCAAGAGCGCACTGGCCCAGGCATCATCACAGGCGTGGAGCAAGGGCTGGGGCCACTGAAGGACTCCCTGGGAAAAGTCCACATGGTCCACACGGTCACTTGATCCACACGGTCCACACGGTCCACACGGTCCACTCGGTCCACATGGTCATTCGGTCCATTCTGTGCACACAGTCCACACGGTCCACTCAGTCCACACAGTCCACACGGTCCACACGGTCCACACGGTCACACGGTCTACTCGGTCCACTCGGCGGGGGTTCGGAGTCTTGGCTGACAGCTGCCGTCCTCCTGGGTCATCGTAGTGCAGATGAAGGCAGGATGGGCTGCACTTGGTAACAATTTCCTCCACTATTTATGTAAAATTTGGCCGGATTTTTCCCAGGACTTTCCACGCAATCAGAGGACTCGGGCGCCACCAAGTGGCCATCCTGGGAACGTCAATGGCCTGGGCCACATCTCAGGTGAGGCAGATTTCGTGTGAATTAAATCTTTCGGGTTTTTGTTGTTGTTTTTTCATTCTACTTTAAGCTCTGGGGTTCCCGTGCAGAGCGTGCAGGCTTGTTACATAGGTCAGAGGTGCAGGCTTGTTACATAGGTATACACGTGCCATGATTGTTCGCTGCACCCATCGACCCCTCATCTACATTAGGCATTTCTCCTAATGCCGTCCCTCCCCACCCCCCACCCCCGACAGGTCCCGGTGTGTGATGTCCCCCTCCCTGGTCCGGATTCAAGGTGGCCGACTCCGCGGAAGCTGCCCATGGGCTCAACCTCCATGTGCCCACGCTCCAGCCCCGGGAGCTCCAGTTGCCTGCGGAGGTTGGACTTGCTTCTAATTCGTCCCCGCGTTCCCCGCTTTTCGGTAGGGATCAGCCCCAGAGTTAGAGAACCCCTGGACTGTCGTCCCAGCACTTTGGGAGGCCGAGGCGGGCTGGTCGCCTGAGGTCAGGACGCTTGCAAAGCAGCGTCCTCACTGCTCGCCCTCTGGTGGGCGCGTGCTGCACTGCAGTTTTAATTTGCATTTTTCCTGAATAACCATGTTAATTAAGCATACATATATATATTCGAGACAGAGTCTCGTGCTTGTCGCCCAGGCTGGAGTCAATGGCGTGATCTTGGATCACTGAACCTCCAACTCCAGGGTTCAAGCGATTCTCCTGCCTCAGCGTCCTGAGTAGCTGGCATTACAGGTACCCACCAGCACGCCTGGCTTTGTATTTTTATTTTAATTTTTAATTTTTAGTTGGTTTCACCATGTTGGCCAGGCTGGTCTCAAACTCCTGACTTCAGGTGATCTGCTCACCTTTGCCTCCTAAAGTTCTGGGATTACAGGTGTGAGCCATACCGTGCCTGGCCAGCATTTTAATATTCTTTTGTGTGCCTGTGTGTGTGTGTGTGTGTGTGTGTGTAGAGATGGGGTCTTGCTATGTTGTCCAGGCTGGTCTCAAATTCCTGGCCTCAAGCAATCCTCCAGCTTTGCCCTCCCAAAGCACTGGGATTACAAGCATGAGCCACCCGCCCAGCCAATGTATTCTTTTTGGCATTTGGGTGAAGCTTCTGTTTGAGGTGCTTGCCCATTTTCAGAGGGGTTGCTTTCCTTTCCATTCTGGATGGAATTCCTCTCTGGGGCAAACCCTCTCGGTGAACATCTGCTCTGTGGGTCGCCATTTCGCCCTCTTAATTTGGTCTTAATTGCTACATAGTTCAATTTACTGTTGGACTGTTTAAGAAATCTTTGCAGACACCCAGGCCACAAAGATATTCTGTTTTCCTCTGAAACCTTATTGCCTGGTGTCTCTGGAATTTATTTTTGCATATGGTGTGAGGAGGGGGTTCAAAATACATCTTCCAAGGCCAGGCGCAGTGGCACACACCTGTAATCTCAGCACTTCGGGAGGCTGAGGTGGGCAGATCATCTGATGTCAAGAGTTCAAATCCAGCCTGGCCAACATGGCGAAATCCCGTCTTCACTAAAAATACAAAAAATTTAGCTGGGTGTGGTGGCGCATGACTATAATCCCAGCTACTCAGGAGGCTGAGGCAGGAGAATTGCTTGAACCCGGGAGATGGAGGTTGCAGTGAGCCGAGACTATACCACTGCACTCTCCATTCGGGTGACAGAATGAGACTCTGTCTCTAAACAAACAAACAAAAAACCAACAAAAAACTTCGTCTTCCCCGAGTGATGCCATGCCTTTAACAGAGAAGATCTTAGCCCCCTTCCCGCCCCTCAGCTCTGCCTTCGTCATTGATCTGGGGCTGCGAGAGTCTGTGTCTGAGCCTCTTTTCTTTTCTGATGTTCAAGTTGCCAATTCTTCTGTGATGTCACACTGTCTGCATTACTGTAGCTTTATAACAGGCCTGCATTTTTATTTATTTATTTCTTTTGAGAGGGAGTCTTGCTCTGTCACCAAGATTGGAGTACAATGGCATGATCTTGGCTCACTGCAGCCTCTGCCTCCTGGGTTTCAGCAATTTTCCTGCCTCAGCCTCCCAAGTAACTGGTATTACAGGCATGTGCCACCACGCCTGGACAATTTTTGTATTTTTCATGGAGATGGGGTTTTACCATGTTGGCCAGGCTGGTCTCAAACTCCTGACCTCAGGTGATCTGCCTGCCTCAGTCTCCCAAAGTGCTGGGATTATAGTCATGAGCCACCACACCTGGCCCATTTTTATTTCTTTTGAATGTTGTCCTTACTATTCTTGCTCCTTTGCAATTACAAATGAATTTTTAAAAAGAGCTTGTCAGTTTCTGCACACAAAAAACCTATCATGTTCAATGCAATCAGGACTGCATTGCATTTACAGATTAATTGATGTCTTGGCAACATTGAGCCATCCAATCCGTGGACGTGGTATATTTATCCGTTTAGATCTTTAATTTCTCCTAATAGTGTTGCCTATTTTTTCAATTTAGAAGCCTTGCAACTCTTTCTTCACTCCTTAAAAAGTCAGATTTATTGAGGATTCTAGTAAAATTCTCTCTTTTTAGTGTACAGTTCTGAGTTTTGACAAATGCACACAGTCATAAAACCACACTACAATCGTGATACAGAAAAGCTCCACCCCCCACCAAATTTCTCTCATGCCCCTTTGCAGTCAGCCCTGCTAAACCACCGCCTGAACCCCACTGATGTGACCTTTTGTGTGTGAATTTTATTCATTCTGTGATGCTTTTGACAATATCCTTGCTGTTGCCTGTAGAAGCAGTTTTTTCCTGGTGACTCTGTCCATTCACTAGTTGATGGACATGTGGGTTGCTTCCAGTTGGGGGCAATTATTAATTAAGTCACCCGCTGCAAGTGTTCATGTACAAGTCTTTGTGTGAACATATTTGTCTTCATTTGATTTAGGGAAATACTTAGGAGTGGGACTGCTGGGTGGGGTGGCAAGTATGTGAACTGGAAATGAAATCGCTGCTGATCTGTTTCCAAAGCAGTGGTATGATGTGGTTGGCTTAGAGGTTTGTCCTCTCCAAATCTCATACTGAAGTGCAATCCCCAGTGCTGGAGGTGGGGCCAGTGGGAGGGGTGTGGGTCGTAGCTTGGGGCCCTCCTCACGGAAATGAGTGAGTTCTCACTCTGAGTTGATGTGAGATGAGATATTTTCACTCTCTCTGAAGCTCATCTTTTCATTCTCTTAATGGCGTTGTTGGCAGAGCAAAAGGTTTTGATTTTGGTGAAGACTAATATATCCATTTTTAATTTGACGGGTCATGCTCATGGTGTCAAGTAAGAACTCTTTGCCAAAACCTAGATTATGGAGACTTTTTTCCTTTTTTTTCTAAAAGTTTTGTAGTTTCACAATTTATATTTTAGTCTGAGATCCATATTTTGCACTAACGTTTTTTATTAGGTATGAGACTTAGGTTGAAGTTATTTTTCTTTGTATAGACTTCCCTTCCCTTCCTTTTTCTTTTTTTTTTTTGCTTAAGGATGTACAATTACACAATTTGTTCCTTAATTGAACTGCTTTTTGCCTTTGTCAAAAATCGACTGGGCGTAATGCGTCAGTCTGTTTCTGGGTTTTACCTACTCTGTTCCTTTGAGCCACATGTCTTACACCTCTACTAATTCCATACAGTCTTGTAACTACATATTAATATTTGAAATAACATTTGATAGACTGATTCCTCCCATTTTATTCTTCTTTTATAAAAATATTTTAGCTATTCTAGTTCTTTTACTTTTCCCTCCATAAATCTTAGAATAGTCTTACCTGTGT